TTGTTGAAAGGGCATCATCCCAATCCTCACTGTTTCCTAGGAGCAGCGCATTGGGCCAGGCTCTGCTCTGTGTTTTTTTGAAATGGGGTCTTACTCTATTGCCAAGACTGGCCCCAAACTCAGGGGACCAGGCCATCCTCCTTCCCCCAGCCTAAGTAGCTGGGACTGTAAGTTCACACCACCACACCCAGCTCCCGGGTGTTTTATAAGCCACCTGCAGGAGGCCCTATCTATTCTACCCCAGTCTAGTTTGTAGCCATCTTGAAGCTTGCCATTGCATGGCCAGATGCTGAATTGCAACCAACAGGTATTTCCCAAGCTTGGCAACATGCAGGGGTGTAAGCTGCCCCCAGGGAGCTGCAGAGGCACCAGTGCCAGTCTTCTGGGACTCAGTTCTGATGTCAACAACCTGGTTGTCTTCACACTGCACTGGTTGTGTGTCCCGTGCTCTCCCCAACACTATTTGGTCAGACTTCCATGTAGCTTGGCTTTCCTGTCCAGGCCCAGTGGGCACAATGCAAAAGATCTTACCCCAGGAGACCATTATCAGTACAGAGGGGCCTATGGAGAGGGTGACTGACTCAGGGAATTTGGTGAGCAAGAAGGTTACTACTCAGGTCACTTGTTGAGGGACTCTGAGTCTAAGAGAGGGACAGTGGCAACAATATAATCCTGTGGCCTAGAAGTAGGAGAGTCCCATGAAATTTTGCCTTGGTTTGAAGACCTTTGGGGACAGTGACAGGGTTTGCTCATATCTCCCAGGTCTAAATGGAAGTTAGACCATGTTCTAGATGCTTTAACTGCTTTAATGAATTTAATCTTCAGCAACGAACTTATGTGGGAAATGGAGGCCCAGAGAGGTTAAATGACATACCTAGCAAGCAAGCACCAGAGCTGAGACACATCCTTCAAGCGACACCAGCTGGCAGAAGGGAGCGCAGGTTGGCAGGTGGGGTAAGGAGCCCAGCCTCTTGGGTTGACGAATCAACCCAAGCTCTCCCAGGCTCAAGTACTCAGTTTACAAAAAAGGTAGCAGAGAAGGTGAAATGTCAGCCACTGTCCAAAGCTCTGTGGCTACCCAGGATGGAAGTTGAGGAGATTTTAGTCCCTGATGCTTCACTGTGTGACTATTCCCTGTCCCCCGGCCTCACAGGCCCTCACATCATCCCTCTGTCTTCTGCCTTCCCGCACTGCCCTTCCTACTACCAAATATTTAGGGGTGCAAACACTTTCTGAACTTGCCTGAAAACTTCCCTTCGGTGATTCAGATCTTTTAAGATTCAGTTCACCCCCTCCAGACAGCCCTCACAGGCATCCCTGGTTGGAATGACTCTGTCCCCAGCTCAGGAATTGAGATGTGATGCTCTTTTGACATCTGTCACAATTCATCTTGCATTAGGTCACTTCTCAGTGGGTCTGTCTCCCTGGGGGTGGATCCACAGCTATGCTCAGTACATAGCTGACATCTGCCCCAGGGTAAGCAAGTCATTATGGGGTCATGGGGACGACTCTCTTTTTTTTTTTTTTTTAATATTTATTTTTTAGTTCACGGCAGACACAACATCTTTGTTTGTATGTGGTGCTGAGGATCGAACCCGGGCCGCACGCATGCCAGGCGAGCGCGCTACCACTTGAGCCACATCCCCAGCCCAAAGGGACGACTCTCTTGACTAACTAGAAAAAACATAGGCTTGGAGATTCTAGGAATTCCATTTTAAAAGACAGAAGATGTATGGGATTTTACTCTCAGGTCTTGTTTTCCCTAAATAGTCTTGTTGGAGTGGGTACTGGGAATTAAACTCAGATGCCCTGTACCACTGAGCTACATCCCCAGCCCTTTTTTATTTTTTGAGACAGAGTCTGGATAAATTGTGTAGGCTGACCTCAAACTTGCCTGCCTCAGGCCCCCAAATCACTGGGATTACAGGTTTAAAATATTCTATGTTTATTAAAAAATAAAATGGCTTTGGTATGACAGACATCTTACATAAATGAAGATGAGACTTATTTCTTCATCTGATTAAATTTTTTAAAAATAGATTTATTTAATTAATTTATTTTTATGTGCTGAGGATTGAACTCAGTGCCTCACATATGCTAGGCAAGTGCTCTACCACTGAGCTATAACCCCAGCCCCCATGAAATGTTAATGAATTTGTTCTTTCATCACCTGTCAGTGGATGTTGGTTGCTCAAAGCTATTCAAGTTGGCAAACTACCCCTAACAGTGAATGAAGAGGCACAGCACGGTGCTGGATTTAACTGCATAGATCCTTCTGCAGAACTGGCTGTGGAGAGATCCCACTTTATCACTTACTTGGCATGTCCTTCTAGGTAGTCACTTAAACTCTCTGTGTATCGGTTTTCCCATCTATAAGATGGAGATAGTAATGATAGTACCTATCAAGGTTGTTATGAGGATTAAATAAGTTGATCTATATGTATACACACACACACACACACAGCATCACAACAGCAGAATGGTGTCTGGTGTGTGCCTGTAGAAACACTGGCTTTTAAATAATGATGGTGAGCATTATTACAAAATGTGCTCTCACAGAGGCCAAGAAGGACCTCTTCAATCTGGAGAGATGAGAAGGTCCTTGCTAGCTCACGGAGGGAAGGCAGCCTGGGAATAGCACACACAAGGCTTGGAGGTGAACACCAGCATGGTGAGCTGGGGAGGGGTACTGAGTAAGGCTCTAACATGAGTCGTGGACAGGCTGAGAGTTGCTTGTTCTGCATATGGCTGGCTGTGCCATGCCGGGAATTCGGGCCTCCATTTGAGCCAGTGAAGGATCCTAAGTTGCAGATGAGCTGTGTATTTGAGGCCGACCATTCTGGCAGCAGCGTGGAGGATGCAGGAGCATGGGATAAGCCTGGGGGATTTCCTGCCCTCCCTCTGCCATTAGAAGCCCTGGGAGGGAGGTTCTGACCCACAGGAAGGCAGTGATAATGAGGCCTGAGGAGGGTCTAGATGGGACAAGAAAACCCCATGGGACATGAGGTCTGGTGGGATGGTATAGGAGAGGGGAGAATCTGCAGTGGCCCCCAGGTATCTGCCCCAAGCCACCATGCCACCTGGTATTAGTGACCAAAACAGGGCACACAGCAAGAAGATCAGACAGGTAGTACTCCTCTGCATATATACATGTGTATATACTCAAACATAAAATAATAAAAATTTCTCTTCTAGTTCTCTCCAATTTTGATTACCAAGTACTTTTTTTCCAACACAAAGTAAGAAAACATGAGGCCTATAAATTGAGGAGTCTTAACTTCTCTAAGTGAATTGAAATTTTAAAAAGTTGAGAACCAATGCCTAAAAATTCAAGGTAGATATATGCACTTAACGTTCACTGTGAGGAGGCTCTGTTCTGGGAGTGGGGATCTGGATGACACACTCACAGATCCCTAAAGACTGGGGGTCTCCAGGAGCAGCACCTTAACTAGGTCATACGTGATGAAGAGACTGTCAGAAGAAGGAAGCAGGAGGGAAGGGGCTTTCAGTGGCAGAAATGACCTGAGCAAAGGCACTGAGGCAGAAAAATGCAGGGTACACTCAGGTAAGGCAGAGTTGGAGGCACCCTTTGAAGGCCTCTGGAGACGGCCTTCTTCATGTTCCCTGGAAAAGACTGGGGCCCAGAAAGAGGAAGTGCTTCTAAGACCTAGAAGCAGAAATGAGGTCTTCTGACTTCGGGTCAGTGCTCTTTCCACTGCCCCAGAAAATCTGCAAGGGAGAAAGCCCAGACAAGGACATAGGTTTTATTTCCTTTGCTTTCTTATTCCTGGCTAGGGTTGAATCAGGGGGCACCATTCTTTGCCTCCCTGTTCCAACAGATTGTTGTTCCTGAATAAGTCACCTGTTTGGGCCATCATCTCCACCATGAAGGAGGTAGAGGCCTTGCCTCACCTGGAGCCAATTCTGACTCCTTAGCGAGCTAAAACATGTCTGTCATTCTCCGATCCCCAGCAGCTGGCAGGAGCTGCCGCACAATGTAGGCGCTCAAATCGGTGTTTTGGAAAAAAGGCAGGCAGGCAGAACTCTGTCTCTCTCCTTCTAAGTCCCTTTGAGAGCCTCAGCCTCTCCCCTCCCCAGGCAGGACAAAGTGTGAAGGAGGCACAAAATCAGACAGACCTTGAAAGGGAAGGCAGGAAAGACAAATAACTTAACTGCCCAGGGGCCCTAACTTCTCCCTGTCTCTGGGCAGATGCCCTTGAGAGCGTCCTTCCTCCTGGCCTTGGCCTTGCTCAAAACTCAGGCAGTTGCTGGGCAGGGGAGGAACCTTTTATCAGAATACAGAGGAGCCTGGCTGGTCCTCTTCCCCACCCCCCACCACTCACAGCCTCTGCTCCAAGAAGTGTCCCAAGCCCTCTGTCCCAATGCTAAGGCATTGGGTTGGCTCCAAAACCTCCTGTTTCTCTGGCCAATGATTCCTTAGGTTTTTGTTTTGTTTTGTTTTTAGTTCAAGTAACCTTCTTTGTACAGTAAGAATTTTTGGTCTACTTCCTCCTTCTACAGTAGGAGATGTATTTCTTTTAAATTTGTAAAGCTCACATGCATGCTCAGGAAACTAACCTACCGTGATAGAAACCAGTACCATGGTTGCCTCTGGGGTGGGGACTGACTGTGAGGGAGCCCAAGGGAATTTAGGGCTGGTGGAAATATCTGAAATCTTGCTCTAGGTGATGGTTACTGGGATCTATAATCTATACATTGGTCAAAAATCTTCATTCTGTACAATTAATATTTGTGGATCTGACTATATATAGAATGTATACTTATACCTCAATAAAAACTTCTAGCATCTAGCCAGGCATGGTGGTCCATGCCTGTAATCCCAATGGTTTGGGAGGCTGAGATGGGAGGATCAAAAGTTCAAGGCCAGCCTCAGCAACTTAATGAGGCCCTGAGCCATTTAAGGAGACCTTGTCTCAAAAGTTAAAAAAAAAAAAAAAAAAAAATCTAGCTTCTAAAAAACACATATACAGAAAAAAATGTATAGGCCAGACAGGCAGTTTAATGAATTAACAAGCCAGCATCTGTGAGAACCGCTCCCCCACAAAGCCGGGCACTGCATGCAATCTATAGTGCCTGGCTGTAACCACGCGGCTGCCCCAGGACCCCAACACCCGCAGCCTGGGCGACCTGCCTCTAGACACAACGTACCTCTTGCTCCTCAAATTTGTAGCGACACAGAGACCAGGGATGGCGGGGGAAACCATGGGCTTTGGAACCTAGAATTTCCCATCAGAGCAGCCCCTAGCTTGACTTCAAGGCCTGATGAATTGAAAGAACAGAAAACCCACCAGTTTCCCCTTCCTGGGAGTGGGGTTTCCGAACCTGCCTCCCCAGGCGAGTCTTGGCTGGGGGGTGAGGGTTGTCCCTGGTGAAAGTCAAGGAGAAATGTGCCTTCCTCGCATCCCTGCTAAAAATAACCCTCAGGCAGCGCCGCTGCCACTGAGCAGCAGGAAAGACAGTCATGTTTTGCTTTAAACCTCCAAGCAGCTCAGCAGTAGGGGGCGAGGATGGGGGGAGGCTGTGGATCTGAGGACCTGGCAGCACTCAGTGCACCCCCCAGCTGCAGCTGGTCCTCTCAGGGGTGCCTGGGAGGGGCGCATGTGTCGGAGTGCGTGCTCGCGCATGTGTGGTGACAGGGCCTCCCAGCAGCCAGAGCAGGAAGCAGGGGAAGGCTGGGGACGCGTGGGGAGGGGTCTCTGTCCTGGTAACTGGAGCGTGCAGCCAGAGGGGCAGGAGTCACGTACTCCACGGGGGCTCCTCCTCGTTTGAGAAGCGCTCTGTCCCTGCAGCCCACTCCTGGCTCCTGAGTGTTGGGGGGCAGCTAACCTCCTGCAGCGTGGGCCCCTGCCCCTGGGGGCTCCTGGCACACACAGAGCTGGGATTGTCGCCTTGGAGTCCGGTCTCTGTCTGGCTTCCGCTCTGCCCAGAGAGCTCGCGAGGTCCTCAAGAGCGGGTGTGGTCCAGCGGGTGAGGAATTTCCCTGGAAACGGGAAGTACAAGATGTGTCAGTGTGGGATCCCAGCAGAGGCGAGTGAGGGGAAAGGAAGAGGCCATTGTGGCTGCCCTCTCCTCCACCGTTCTCCCCCCGGTCTCCCATCTCAGAGGCCCCACAACAGTTCTTTCTCTCTCTCTCCAGGTCTTGGGTCCCCAGCTTCTTGAGGGCAGGACCATTCTGCAGTTGGCCTCCATTTTCCAAAGTCACAAGAAGCACTATTAATTGGATGGTGCACCAGTGTTCCCAGCATTCGGCCTCACACCAACGATGTCCTTTTTACCCCTCAGCCAGACGATGATATGGAAACTGTTACTTTCCCCATTTAAGGATGAGAAAACTGAGGCTTACAAGGGTGAAGTGGTAGTCTGTGCTTGCATTGGTAGTGCATGACAAAGACAGAGCTCAAGGTCATGGTTTGGAACAGAGAGAATGTCCAAGATGTCTGTCCAGGGGAAAATGAAAAATGATTTTAGAAACTGGAACTTCCTGGATAATTTGGGACACAAGGTTGCTGAACTCGAAATTTGGTAGAAAAAAAAGAGCAGTGGCTTTGGAGTGAAAATTTGTACTATCAGTTGTGATTTGGGCCAAGGAACTTTACCATTTTGAGCCTCAGTTTCCATCTCTCTAAAATGGATCTGATAATCCTTGCATAGCATTGCTGGGAACTGACAGATTTGACCCAGCCATTTTTTCTAAACCTGAAAAACCCCCAAGCTCCTTCATGCCTTGGGGCACATATCTTGCATGTGATTTTCCTGTACCTGGAACCCTCAGCTTTCAGATGTTCACAGGAAGGCTTGTTTGTGTCCTCTAAGTCTGAGCTCAAATATGGCTTTCCTCAGGGCAACCTTCTCTGACCACCTAGGAGACCTGGCTTCTCTGGGGGCATCACGATTTGATTTTTCTCCTTTGCATTTATCACGATCTGAAATTATCTTAATAATTTGTTTCACTTGTTTATTTATGGCCTGTCCCCTGCCCCCAGCTACTGAGGATGCAAGTTTCTTGAGAGATGGGACTTTGTGGGGCTCACTGACTGGTCCTGGTTCTTGGAGCAGCACCTGGCAGGCATCAGAGCCTGCTAAACATTTATGAATGAATGAATGACTGTGCTTTGGAAATAGCAGTATATTTAAGTGACTCTCCCACAGGCTTTTCAAAGCCAAAGGGCAATAAAATGTGCGTTAATGGAGGCTCGGAGAACACTTTGGGTCTGGCCCACGCCCAGCCCTGGAGCTCCCCGGCTGCAGGGAGCCATGAGGCTGCCTGGGCTTCCGGCTGCTCCAGGATAAAGGTCAATCCTTTTGCTGGAACACGAGGTACTGCACCATCTGGGCCTGCCTGCCTCTGGCCTCATCTCCCTGGGCTCCCAACCTGCACTCCATGTCCAGCCAGACCAAACAATTCTGAGTGCCCGCCGGAGAACATGGGGCTGCTTCACGCCTGTGTGCCTTTATACACACTGTTCCTGCTACCTGGAACACTGTGCACCCTTACTCTGCCTAGCTAGCTCCCCTCAGACACGAAGAAGACTCTTCTACTCAGAGGAGCCTTTCACACTGGTCCCCAACTTCCCAAAACATTCCCAAAATCAAAAGTTTTTTTTTTATTATTATTATTTTATTCTTAGTTGTCAATGGACCTTTATTTTGCTAATTTATTTATGGTGCTGAGAATCAAACCCAGTGCCTCACACATGCTAGGTAAGTGCTCTACCATTGCGCCACAACCCCAACCCTACAAAATCTGTTTTTATGCATTTTCCCAAGTAGTCCAGGGGTCTTGAATGCAGCAACCAGTTTTTACGTCTTTAGGTTAAAGCACAATGCCCACTGCACAAACACAGTAGGTGCTTAATTAAATGCACAGGCATAGCTTTTGAACTTTGGGTCCTAGAGCATGAACAAAATTCCTGAGGCACACAGTAGATACTCGATAAGTGCCTACTGAATACATGATCCTGAACAATCTGATGCTAGCAATAGTTTGGGGCAAGGTGTGGTGTTGGGGGTGGAGTACGAATGGAAATTACTTCCTGGGAAACAAGATGGTGGCAGAGGAACGAAGAGGAAGAGACCTTGGGAAACTTCTCAGGAGACTAGAAATACAAAAAGCAAAAATAAAAGTAAACACAGTTGGATGGAGGCATGTAAACAGAATTCGGAGAAAGGAGGAAGAATAAAAGAGGAAGAAGTACTCAGAGGAAGAAGCTCAGAGAGGACACAGTGTGCCCCAGGAAAGCAATTGAGGACCGGAAGCCAGTGCTCAGGACAGGCTGACCAAATACAGGATGTCTGGTGTCAGCCCCAGGGTAGAGGATGGTGGCATGGGCAGTGGGGTGCTATGGTCCCCTCCTTGGTGATAGAGCTGGGCAAAAGGCCAGTCAGCTTCAGGACATCTTGGGAAATTCTTCCTCTCCCAACTCAGAAGAGGCCCTGTGGCGCGAAGCAAAGCACCCAGACCGCAATCACAAACCTAGTTTCTTGCCCTTGGGTGAGCACCCTAGCTGCTCTGAACCCAGTTTTCCCAGCAAGAGAATGGGGTGCTAGTTCCCTTACTTTGGAGGAACTCTAGGCTCACCCTGAGTTAGGACAGGGAAATGAAAAGTCTAATACACAATCTAATACAAATGGCAGGGCTTGACATCAGGTTGATTATTCCCCAAACTCGGCCATTTTAAGTCCCAAGAAAGGCCATGTAAGTGTGCCTCTGGTTACCACCGACAGAGCTGACTTCACAGCCTGGGATCCAGTCTCAGCTTCTGGTTTTTGGATCTCAGTGCTAAATCAGTACAACCAGACAGTTTACCTCTGGGTAGAAGGTGAGGGGCAGCAGGCAGGCCAGCTGGCCAAGAATCAAGCTGAGCCCATGAAGAACAATCCTGACCATCCAACTCCACTGCTGAGAGTGTGTTCCAGGGTCTTGCTAGTCTCCAGGTTTCGGCCTGTCAAATGGGTGAATAATATTACATTATTCCTCTAGGAGGAAGGCCAGATCAAAAATGCATTATCTCTGAATATCTAAGCCACTTTGAAGAGACGAACTGATCACAACTCAGAAAATCATTAAGAAATCACCATGTGTCACCAGGCACTGTGGTGTACACCTGTAATCCCAGTGACTTGGGAGGGTGAGGGTGGAGGATCACAAGTTTGAGGAGGTTGAGGGTGGAGGATCACAAGTTTGAGGCCAGCCTCAACAAATTAGGGAGGCCCTAAACAACTTAGTGAGATCTTGTCTCAAAATAAAAATTAAAAAGGGCTAAAGATGGGCTGGGAATATAGCTCAGTTGCTAGAGTGCTTGCCTTGAATTCACAAGGCCCTGGTTCAATCCCTACCACCACACAAACACACACACACACACACAAAAGGGGGGGGGGGGCAAAAAGGGCTAAAGATGTAGTTCCATAGTAATGCTCTTCTGGGTTCAATCCCCAGTACCAAAAAAAAAAAAAAAAAAAGGAAGAGAAAGAAATCCCCTAGTGTCAAATTCCATTTTGTTACAGGGTGTAGTGGTGTCCCAGCTATTTGAAAGACTAAAGCAGGAGGATTGCTATTGTCCAGAAGGTGGAAGACCAGCCTGAGCAACATGGCTTGACTCCAGTCTCAAAAAGAGAAGAAAAGAAAAAAAATTGCAATTTATTTTAGGAATATGTGACTCCTGGAGGTAAGAGGGTAGGATATTCCTGGCCAGTGCCAGGCCTCCACTCTGCCCTGTGTTCTCTGAGACTGGTGGGGGAGATTCAGTGATTACTAGGTTTTGGGAGGCACCTGATAGACACGTCCAGCTGGACCCAGGAATATTGCTGAAGTGCCAGGGAAACCAGGGTGGCAAGGAGAAGAGGACCCACCTCAGAGAGATTCCTGTGGTGGGAGAAAGAAAGGAAACTGGGGCTTTGCCCTTCTGGAGTCCGACTTCCCCTCTCCAGGGCTCTTTCTGCATCCTAACTTCCCATCCCCCCATGAACCATGGGGGCAGGAGACTCACTTCGTGATCCTTGGTGGGTAACTCAGGGGAGGTGGGCAGATGAGAGCAGGGTTGACGGACAGCAGGATGCCCCAGCTGGAGAAGGAAGTGTAAACATAAAGTGACCAGTGTAGGACTGGACAGAGGCCATATGAAACACACGGTACATTCCGGCCCCAGTGTAACAAACTGTACCAGCCTTTTTGAGAGCTGGGAGCACTGAGGAGGGGCGGGAAGAGAGTAGAAGTTCCTTGGAGGTTGGCCCTGCCTCCTCCTCCTCCCCCACTTCTCCCACAGCTTGGGTACAGCAGGGAAAGTCCCGCTGTTCCTTTTGCAACCACAGGAAACCTACCATCCCTTCTCACACTCTGTACCCAGTGTTCCTCTCAGCAGCTCCAGACTGGGAGGGAACAAAGTATGTGTGCGTGGTGGCGGCGGGGAGGGCAGGCACCACAGCAGCCCAGGTAACATCAGGGGAGGTGGCAAGCATCACTTGGACACTGACTCACAAAGCCACAGCCTGTTAAGGGCTGCAAAGGAGGGACAGATGACAGGTGAGGAAGTGTCTTACCCAAGGTCACACAGCCATTTGTTCACCAGGGCAGGACCAGAGTGCATCCATCCAGAACTGGGCAGTGTCGGGTGCTCTTGGGTGTAGTATGTAGGAGTGGCAGGCCAGGGAACAGGCAGTGCCCAGGGACTGAGGGCGGGGAGCCCACATTCAAGGTTGCTCCTACACTTTCACTGGCTCTGGGCAGGCCAGGATTGGGCACTTTCCCTTACAACCCTCCCAAACCCCTCCCCCATCCTTAAATTTGAAAGATAATGCATGTAAAGTGTCTAGCACGAAGACTATTTTGTGGTGATGTCAACCAGAATGAGTCACCTCCACTCCACCCTCCCCTCTCCTCCTCCTACACACACACACACACACACACACTCTCAGGGCTCAAGATCTAGAACCTCTTAGGAGCTTTCTCCCATACCACTATCTTCTTGCTTTGAGTCCCTTTATCTGTTATGCACATTTGGTACTTACCACCTGCTGGCTTCAGTTATTATTTAACCTCACACACCGGGTGTTTGTCTCTTCAACTGGCCTACAAACTGCCCAAGGGCAGGAAATCATTTCAATACACCCAGTATTTATTGAACACCACCTCCCGTGCCAGGCTGGGCCTGCGAGGGATGAGTTGGGGGGATGGGGGAGGCTTCAAAGAACCAGATTTAGTTTCTGCCTCAAGGACTTTCTAATCTGGTTAGAACAGGATTAGTAAACAGATCACTAGAACAGGAGACAGGCCGCTGGCCATGCCTGGGAAAGGTACAAACCAAGTGTGTTGGGCTTGGGGAGGAGAGGGGATTCAGATTTGGTTGGTGGCGTTTCAAGGGACCCTTATGAGCTGAAGCCAAGGGATGGCTAGACACGGAGGACAAGCACTCCTGTCAGGGACATGGCACAGCAAATATGGATGTGGGAAGGAGGAAGAATAAAGGATTTTAGGAATTGTGACAAACTTTTCATGACATCCTTAGCAGGACCCAACACAGAACCTTCCTCAGGTAGGTGCGCAGCATATAAATCCTTTGTCCCCTCCTCAGTTCGGAGGGGGTGGAACCTTCTGGACTAGCACTCAGCCCTCAGTTGTCTTTCTGCAGAAACATGAGTAAGGAGAAATCCCGGTTCTGAATAAACCAGGATTTGGAACTGGACAAACGGAAGGGTCAGGCTTCAGGGCCAGTTTGGGGTCTTCGTGCTAATCCCCGCCATTCCTCCACCACTCCCACCCTATAGGATCTGGGCTCTCCCGACTCCCAGAGCCCTGCCAGGGAGTTCCCAAGCTGTCCCAAAGGGCAAGGCTTGGTTTGCCAGTGCCGGGAACCCCAGGACTCTCCGTGCTGCCGGCTTGTGTGGAGGATCAGGGAAGTGGGGGCGAGGGAAGGGGAGGCTCTTCCTGGGGATCGCTTGAATTGGCCCCCTCAACACAGGCTTCCGTTGTCACGTGACTGCATCCCAGGTCTGACAAGCCTGGGGCTGGCGTTCTCCCAGCTGTCCTCCAGACTGCTGGAACGAGCGCTTGGGGGGGCACGGGCGGCAGCTCTGGGGGCCCCTCTCCGGTGGACTTTCCAACACCTGCCCCCCGACTATGCTAACCCAGAGCCCTCACAAGCCTAGGCATCCGACCCGCGGGGCAGTTGGGCACGGAGATGTCTGGGTGCTCCGGGGCTGGTGAGTGCGCGGGGCTGCGGGGCTGCGGGGCTGCGGGGCCCACCCGGCGGGGGCGCACGTCTCAGAGGTTGAGCGCCAGCCCCGGCCCCAGCGCGCGCTCCCAGGGCCGCCGCGGCCGGGAGGCTGTGACCGCGGCGGGACTGCGCGCCGAGCGTAAGCCGCGAGCACAAACAAGGCGAGGAGGCTGGTGTGAGCGCCTGGGCCCGCTGCCAGCGCGCCGGGGCTGGAACACAATGTCCCGAGCCGGCGGGCGGGCGGGCGAGCGCGAGCGAGAACAGCCTGACTCAGCAGCTGGGTAAGTGGGTGTGCTCGCTCACCAGATCAACCGCTCCTGCAGCCTGCGGTCAGCGGCCGCGACACCCGGCGGCTCCCGCGAGCGGGAGTGGCGAGCGCACCCCCCGCTCCCCGCCGCGCGCCCCAGCCCCCCGCGGCCGGCCTCCACGTGGCCCGTTTGCGCTGCCCTCTGCCTTCTCGCCCCGCCAGGACAGCGTCTCCCAGTGCCCCGCCCGAGCACCGCAGGGTCTATCCACCTGGGAGGGGCGCTCTCCGCATCCGACAGGTGTGGCTCGGCACACAGCGTCTGATAAACGTCCCGTTGGGTACGTGTCCCGTTTCCCTTAGTAGTAGACAGAGATATGAGTTTGTTCTGGGGTGATGGTGGGTAAGAAGCAGAGGAAGAGAATCCTAGAAGAAATAAGATATAGGGCAAGCGCTCTTTGTCCTCAGTTGACCCAGAGTTCAGAGTCTCTTCCTGTCCCCTCCCCTCAAAACCACTAGGCCCCTGAAGGTTTCCTCCTGGGAGGGAGGCAGAAGCAGGTGGTGTGATGCTCTGAAGCCTGTGACTCTGCTTTTCTGCCATCCCCACCCTCCCATCTGAAGCTACAGCAAAGACCCAGGAAGCCAAAAAATTCTTCCTTCTTCCCCTGTGCCTGCCTGCTGTCTCTTCTGGCCTGGTGGGGACATTGGGAGAATGGCAGCATCCCAGGGCAAAGGCTCTTGGAAAGGGGGGCTGTCTCAGCTCCAGCCTCCTGGGGTGTCTGTAAGGTGCCTAGAGGGACACCCTGTGCCTGGAGAGTGCCAGGGCAGGCAGGGAGGGGCTCTGTCCTCTGCCGAGTTCCAGGAAAGACCTTGGCAGGCAGTACAGGCCTGGGCTCCAGGGCCTTTGAGGGTGGGGTTAGGGGAGGGACCCTAAGCTGCAGAAGTGCCTCACCTGGGCCTTGTGCCCCCAGGCCCATCTGATGGAATCACTGGCTAGTTCTTTAGCCAAAAATTAACAGATGGATGCCAACATGGTCCTGGGCCATATGGACCACCTTGCAACACATACAGCACACTTCCCACACATGCTGTCACCCAGCCAGCACTCACCAACCCCCCTAGAAGGGAGGCAGCTTTGCTGTCATCTATTCCAAACTTCAACTTGATGCAACTTGATCCATGAATCTGTCCATGGCATCCCAGGTCAGTGATTGCTCTGAAGCCAGGACTGGGACACTGCCCCAGTCCCACTACCCTTCTGGATTTTCCCATCTTCAAATCCAGTCATATATGGGTCACTTGCCTTAATCTGGCCTACAAGTGACTAAACTCACTCATGCCCCTTGCACCAACTCCTCCCCATTGTCCCTTGTGACACTCCTAGTCCCCCCAAATCATTGTGAAGGTGGGTTGATGTTTAACTGCTTTCTCTCCTTCACCATCCTATGTCTGATCTGTTACCAGATTCTGCTTTCTTCTTTTTGTTGCTGTTATTTTAAAATGCATTGTTTAGTCATTACCTTTCTCATTCACTCCTTCCTCTCCAGCCCTATAGATATCACCTTTGATCCAAAGTGCTGCAGTCTTTCTGATCCAGGTTGTTTCTTACTCCTACACGCCCTGCGGAATAATCTTTCTCAAACACCATTTGTCGTATCTGTTATCAGCGCAGACGTCTCAGCCAAGCATACTGGGTGTGCCAGCTGCTATGTGATCTGTATGTGTTCAGATTCATTCATGGCCTTTCCAGATCACTGAAGTGGAATCTACCTAGCACAGTGCCTGCTGCACAGTGAGAGGGCAGCAAATATTTTTCAATTGTCCAATTCATTTATTCGTACCACCTTCTCATCCCTCTACCTCTCTCTCCTGACTCCATCTCCCCATTCTCAGCAAGTTTATTGGCTTCCTGAGGCAAACTCAGGTTCATTTCCCCCAAATCTTCAGAGGGGGATCTGAAAGGGAGAAGCTGATATCCAAAGTCACATCAGGGAATTTGTGCCAAATACCAATCGTAGAGACCTTGGGTTTAAAGTAGAATGGGCACAGCTGCCAGTATCTGCTCCCATAAGAGATAAGGCCACAGAGAGAGCAGAAGGCAGAACACAAAAGTAAACACCAATGGCTTTGGGGTTTACAGAGGGATCTTGCCATTGAGAGATTCTAGCCCACTTCACTCTGAGTCCCTGTTCTGATTCTCATAGTCTTTCTGTTTCTTGGAACCACATCTCATACACACCTCTAGTGATTCCACTTATGGATGCAACTCAAAATCCATCCCCCACAGGAAGTCTCTGATAGTATCCACACCATTTTGATTGGTTTGTCATCAACTTCAACTTCCCTCTGAGCCTTATGAGCAGTCTTCTATATTTTATTGTTTAATTCTGTTTCTGTAATATTTTCAGCCCTTTCCTCCAAATGTTATAAACTCCTTCATGAAAAGGATAAGTATCTTTTTGTTTATTGTATATGATCTATTTATTTTAAGAAAGAAGCAGGAGGTAGGGCACTCAGGTTCATATAGAATTGTTGGGCCTTGAGTAAGACCTCTCTGAGTCAGTTTCTTCATCTGTAAAAGGCACGAGGGATGCCTGCCCTGCAGAATGAGGGACAAAACTCACAGAGATTATAAAATGCTAGGAAAGTGATTGTTGAATGGTGAGCATACAATAGTTTGTCTTCCTTCTTTCTCGGCATGGTTGAAACTTTCCCTTAATTAGGGGACTAAGTCTTCCTTAACCCTTACCCATTCCTGGATACTTTACACGTAAAAAGGGACAATATTAATAATTACACTGGTTCCAGGGACACAGCCTGGGATGCACAGCCACCATAATCCGTGAGGGCAGGCTTCGGATGGAGTGCAATATCCCAGTGCTTAAGCATCGCACCAAGCATGTTTGTTGAACGAAAGAGAGGGGGGGGGAACATAGCTGTGCCTCACTTAGTTTCTCCGACAACAACGAGCGAAGCTGCAAAGATTGAAAAGCCCGCCCCTGCCGCGCCCCCACCTCTACCCGCAACCCCGCCCTGTCCCAAAGCCTGGATTCCCTGAGGTCTGCCCTCCTCTAGTCTGCCCCGGTTGCCTAGGAAGCAGTGACGTAACTCGAGGGGCGTGGCCTCTCTCCATCCTCTTCTGCCACCCTTGGTCGCTGCTTGGCGGTTCCTTTGGGGAGGATGGGGTTATTAGAGTCCTTAGACCCTCTCAGCCCGCGCCCGGCCCCAGCTGACTACGCCCACTCCCACTCGGCGGTCCCTTCCGACGCGCCGCTAGCTCGGGGCGCGCACCCCACCTAAACCTGGCGAGCTAGACGGGATGTCGGCCCCTGTCCTTGGAGGCCTTTCCACCTTTCACCCAGGACTGGCCAGAGGAGTCTGAAAGAGGGGCCAGGCGCTCAGCTCAGCGTTGCTGGGCCTGCAACGGGGCGGGCGGGAAGGTGGGACTGCTACCCGGCGCGTGGACGCCCCAGAGCCCGGGAGAGAAGGAGTTAAGCAAGGTGCCGGCGCCGGGCGCGGCGGGAGTGGAGGAGGGGAGCGGAGAGAAAGTGAGAGCGGGGGCGGGGAGGGGGGAGGACGGGAGCGAAAGAACATCCTGTGCCCGCTGCCGGATGCGCTCGGGGGAGGAGGGAGTCGGGGGAGGGAGAGTGAGGTGGGGGGGAGGCCCGGGTGGAGGAGGCGCGGCCTCCGCCCCCACCCGGTCCTCCTCCTCCGGGGGCGCCGCCCCCACCCGCTGCTTTTGCGGATTTCTCCGGGGTCTCCGTGCCTTTGCCGGAGTTCCACGGCTCTAGTTCCTGGGCTTTAGCTGGGGAGGGGATGGTCTCGGAGAGTGGCATCCAGGAAGGGCACGGGCGCCCCCAACCTTGTGCCAGGAAGCTGGGCGTATTGAGCGTCGCCTGTGCCGAGAGGAGCCGCACGTTCTCTCGGTCGGTCCTGATGGCAGCACTTCCAGGTAGTAAATTCCTCTAGAGGAGGAAACTAAGACTCAGATGATGGGATATGTCCAAATCCCACACAGCTGGGATTTGAACCCATGGCAATCGGACTCCAAAGGGTTTTTCCTTGGAGTGTGAAGCAGACCAACCTTCTCTTGTCTTTTAAGTGCACAAGTGCTGGGTCTCACAAGGCAAAAAGGTCACCCTCGGTAATGACCTAGGACTGACTTTCCTAATAGGCCCCCCAATAGCACCTGGAGCATTATAGTTTAGGAGGATTGCAAGAGCATCGTGAAGAGCATGAGGCAGTGGCCTTAGGGGTGGATGGCTTAGGAACAAAGTGGTTAGGGGAATGGACTGGGGGCTACCGCTTCTAAATTGGGGATTTGTGGGCTTCAAAGAGGACTCCGAAGTCGCTCAAGGTAGTTAAATAATTTTCATGAGTTGAGATTGATCAGCCTTAAGAAGACCATTGCGACCAGGGCGAGTGGCAGAGGCTGAAGGGGCGAGTAGTGCGCTTTTTCAGGGCGGGACGCCATTAGGCTTGCTGTGGGCCTTACCACACTCAAACATTTTGTCCAGGTGAAACCTCATAATTATTATAGTCAACATTGGTTGAACTCTGTGTGCAGGGCAGTGTTCCAAGTACTTTACTTAATCCTCACAAACAAGTCCATGAAGTAGGTCAGATTAGTCCCGTTTTACAGGCCGGGAAAATGAGGCACAAAGATCACAGAGCTACCTCTGTGGCTGCACTGGTTTGGAGCCATGGCAGTCTGGCTACAGCCCATTCCCATCCCCTACACGAAGCTGCACTGAACACGTGGGAACATTGGCCCTGGAGGTGAAGAGCTGGTACCAATGGCACAGAGGTGCAAGCCAAGGCAGCCTGTGTCTTTTTCTTGGTGAAGGCAGGTAAGGAGCTCATGGCTGCCTCTGTGTATATTGACTCTTAGACTTCTTTCTGGCCACCTAATCCAGATGTGACATTCTAGATGTGATGGAAAAACAAAACAAGAAAATAAACCAAGCCAAGTTCCCAGAAGGAGTCGCAGCTTTTAATACATTTCCTAAGAACATTTAAAACACACCTACCACCTGGTGCAGTGGCACACGCTTTTGATCCCAGCAACTCAGGAGGCTGAGGTAGGAGAATCTCAAGTTCAAAGCCAGACTTAGCAATTTTCTACATAAAATATAAAAAAGGGTTGGGGATGTGGCTCAGTGGTTAGGTGCCCCTGGGTTGAACCCCCAGCACCACACACACACAAAAAAATTATAAAAAAAATAATTAAAAAAAGGGGGCTGGGATTGTGGCTTAGTGGTAGAGCACTTGCCTAGCATGTGTGAGGCACTGAGTTTGATTCCCATCACCAAATATAAAATAAAATAAAACAAAGGTCCATCAACAACTAAAAATAATATATATTTTTTTAAAATTTAAAAACCACCTACCATCGATTATCTCCATTTCATTAAAGAAAATATGTATGAATTATCATTAAAAAAGGATCATCATCTAAATCAAAACCAAACACTCTTTCCGGGCACCCATGGTCATAGCTACTCAGGAGATTTGAGGCAGGAGGGCATCTTGAGGTTAGTTGAGACCAGCCTAGGTCATATAGCAAAACCCCATCCCTGAAAAAAAAATAACAAAAATCTACCAGTCATTCCCAAGAAAGGAGTCATTGACTTTACACTGACTAATAGATGCTCCTCTGTCTTTATTTTTTTCATTGTACTGGGGACTAGTGAAAATGTCACCCTGGGTATGACTCTGCCTCTTTGCTCCCTCTGAATCATTTGAGGGCAGAACCAGAAGAAATGGTCTTTAGTATGGCAGGAGGGAATCAGGTTACAGCCAAGAAAGAACTCTCTTGGGAGGTCTTTAAAGAACAGATGACAAATCTGCTTCAGATATGTGAGCTGCAGAATCAGCTCCATAGCACTGAGGGGACAGCAACCGTGAACAGAGCAGGGACCTTGTTCTGAAGGATCTGTTCAGATCCACCAAGGGAGCCTTGGAACCAGAAATGACAGTTGCCTATCAGGCAGCTATTTCCTGCCTGCAGATTATGGGGTACAATGGGTAGTTCCCTAGCAGTGAGCCTGTGCTCACCCACCTCTCATTGCAGACAGTCCATGTAGTCACCCATCTTGGGGCGAAGTGCTAGGAATGACCCTAGAGGAAGGGTGGGGATAAAAGAGAGGATAGGAAGAGATGACTGCCTAGGAGTGTGGCCTGTTTCCTGCCTGCAGCCTGGGGTGTGATGGGCAGAGGTTCTGAGTGGCCATGCCTGGACAGCTGCAGCATCCTTCAGAATGCTATTTCCCACTCCCGCCTCCCATCCAGGTGCAGCCCAGGACCCAGAGCCTTCTACCCCAGTTCTCCTGGGATGAGGTGGGTAAAACCGTGTTGTGGTACAACCATGCTCAACACTGGCTTTGGGTCTGACCCTAACTGGGAGCTTGTCATCTCCCTGTTCTGTACCAGAGAGAGGCCAGAAGGTGTAGGGAGACTGACGGAGAGAAGAGAAGGATTTGTTTGCACATGGCCCATCTAGTGGTAGAGATCAAAGCCTGTAAAGATGGCTCCCATCCTCTGGGGTGGTAGAATTTTCTGTCTACAGGTCGCAAACCTCATCCCCTGTGTGGGGAGGCTGGAGCGGGGGTCACACCACCACTGTTTCATGGCTGAAAGGCACAGATCTGCTCACATTGTAATCCTGGAGTTTTAGAATGGAAGATCTGGGATCCCCTTGGGTTTTAAGTGCAGAAACAGACCCAGAAAAGGATGGCTCCTTTCCCCTCCAGGGTCACTCAAGTTAGATGGGCCTGGAACCACACTTTCCAGACTCTCTGTCATTATTCTGTCCCCAAACTTTCAAAGAGTGATGAGGCATGACAGATACCTGTGAAGCGCAGAAATCTATGTCGGGTGCTGGGATGCAAAGATGGTTGTCCTCACAAGCTTTCCTCACACTCCAGGTCCACGTGCAGAAGCTGGAAAGTGACGGCTGTACCCAAGGCTGCAAAACTTGATAAGATGTCCACTTCATTTCACCTTCCAGGGTTGAGGAAGCTCTGTCTAAAGAAACACACCAAGGTCCAGGGATAGATCTACCTTAGAAAGATCAAAGACAGGAGGGAAGCAAAAGAAGGGGGTCAATGGGCACACCCCAGACTCCCAGAAACGCCCAAAGGCCCCAGCCAGAAATGGGTGTCTGCTGCCCTCTAGTGGAGGAAAGGGCAGCCCCTGGAGCTACCTGCTGGGCCCCTCCAACCTGGCTCCCCTCAAGACAAGGAGATGCCCATCTGCCCCTGCCTCCTTGCTTTTCTTTTTCTTTCTTTTTTCTTCTTTTCCTTTCCTTTTAAAATTTCCTTTACTTTCTCCTCTCTTTCTCCCTCCCTCCCTTTCCGACGCTGGGCATGGAACCCAGGGCCTGACCTGTGCTAGCTTTAGTGCTCTACCACTGAGCTACCCACCCCCCCCACCCCCCGACTGGCCCCAGAGTCTCCAGCTTCTTCTCTGCAGCCTTGAAAGCTGAACCTTCTCTCTTTTTCAAGCACCCCTGGTCATGCCACTTCCCAACTAAGACCCTCCATCCCATCATCTCCCTATTTTCCTTTGTTGCCTAGGTTTCAATTCTGGTACCCTGGTTCCTGGCCCTGCCAGAGTTCTGGTTCCGGAAGGCCTTTCCCAGGTGCCTTGGGCATAGCTCCCACCCGGGTACAAGGCAGCGCTAAAGATATGGGCAAGAGCATCCCCGAGTACCTGGGGCAACTGGACATCCGCAAAAGTATAGTGGGCCTGGCCACAGGTGCCTCAGCCATCTACCTGCTCTACAAGGCCATCAGGGCTGGCCTAAAATGCCAGCCACCTCTCTGCTCCAATTCGCCCATCTGCATCGCCCGTGAGTGTCCAGTCCCTGGGGAGAGGGCTCCGCCCCAGGAGGCACCTGCTTCTGAGGCCTCCCCTGTAGAAAGGCCCAAAGGTGACTCCTTCAAGTTCCTCTCTCCTTCCTCTTTCTCCTCTTCATCTTTCTTAGGAGCCCCGTAGCACCCTAGGCAAGGCCCTGCTAGAGATGTTAGTTTGGGGACTCTGGGTAGATATCACCAAGGTGTGACCCCAGGACTAATCTGGCAGGTCTCCAAATCCTACATTCACTTTGGCTTCCAGGCATACACTTCTTGGAAACTTGACATCAGCAGCTCCCCCCATTCCTTTCTTGTCTAGGAACTTGAGGCTTCAAGGAAAGGGAAAATCGGGGCACCTTCATGCCCAGAGTTTCCACCAGCCTTTATGGCACTTTTGTGCAAAGTCAGAAAAGAGGCACTTTCTGTGAGATCCCTTAATTGCCACCTGCTGGAATATCATTGCCATATGTTGATTACAATGAATCATTACTTGTTAACTGCCACATGCCAAAAAACTAGGTAGTAAATTCACAAATATGGGATATAATGACATAGACAGTACAACATCAGGTAGGGTGCCCTTGTGCAGTACACTCCCTGTTCAGCTGCACATGTAGTCCTGCATATAGAAAAAATCTAAAGAAACAAGGCAGCTTTGTCCCCAGGTCCTTCTCCTCTGTGTCCCCATTCTTTCATTACTGCCGAGTCCACATCCTAAACCGGGCTGGGTGGCTGTCTAGGCCTGGCCATCGAGCGAGAGCGCCATGGGCGGGACTCAGGTGAGCTCCGGAGACTCCTCAACTCTTTGGAGTGCAAGCACGATGGGTACACCAGGAGCATGATCCTGCACAGCATCACTCGCTGTGTGTACTTGCTGGAGGCTGAGGTGAGGAAAGGGAGGCAGGAGGTCCCTCCTACGCAACCTGACTGCTAGGGTTATGCTCTCCCTGCCCTTTGACCCGCCAGAGGGCCTCTTGGGACCAGCGTCTACATGATTGTGGGAGGGGTGTGCTGGGAGAGTGGTCTTTGGTGACATGGGGGGGGGTGGGCAGTGGGCCCTGGACACCCGCTTCTCCTGCCTCTTCCGTCTCTCCCCACACACTCCAGGCCTCTGCTTGTACTAATGATGATATCAAGTTGGTGGCTGACATGCTGGAAGACAAGGACACCAGTGTCAAAATCCAAGCTCTGAACGCACTTAAAGCTTTCTCTGGCATCCGGAAATTCAGGCTTAAAATCCAGGTGAGGGGCTGGGGTTGTGGTTCAGCAGTAGAGCGCTCGCCGAGCATGCACAAGGCTCTGGGTTCGATCCTCAGCACCATGCAAAAATAAATAAATAAGTAAAGGTATTGTGTCCAACTACAACTAAAAGACAAATATTTTAAAAAAGATATCCAGGTGAGCCCAGGGACAGGGAGTGAGATAGCGTACAGGGGAGGCTCATGGTTGCCGGGTCCTTTCGTTGGCATGAGATAAATGGTCACGTCCCAGAAGTTTGTTTGGATCTGAGTTCGTAACCCAGAAATAAGTGGGAAGAAGTGGTCATGTTCCCAGCAGGTTATGAAAGCCTTCCAATCTCAGGATGAAACCAAACAGAGGCACTAGTGGTATCTCTGAACCTCAAAATAGCAGAATACCCCCTGAGATTCTTTGACTCCAGCCAATTCTCCAGTCACCAGCTGGGTATCCCACAATTCCATTAAATTCTGACTAATGCAAAATTAGCACAGACTCCACAAATGAAGGGTTTAGCCCCATTCACATAAGTCTGACTTCTGATCAGCAATTTGGCTATGAATTTGGAATTTCACACAATCCCCTTTTTATCCTTGAAAATTTGCTAAAATGACTTGCAGAACTTGGGAATAGCATTATTGTAAAATGCATAACTCTGGAAAAGCCAAATGAGAGAAATAAGACAGGATGGAGGCGTGGGGAGGAGCTCCTTGTCCTCTCTGGGCAGCCCTACCTCCACCCCAGCACCACCATAAATTCAGCATCCTGGAAGCTCTCGGTTAGGAATTTTGCTGAAGGTTCATTATGGGGTTGTGATTAAACACTGGCCATTGGCAGTTGAACTCAACCTCCAACCCTGGAACCCAGTGTGGGGCTGGAAATCCCAGGTGACTAAGCTGGTTTGTTCTTTATGGTGACCAGCCCCATCCTGAAGGACTCACGGAGGTAGAAGCCAAGGCGATGAACTCTAATCCTTCCCATCTTTTTTTTTTTTTTACATAAATATATACTTATTTAAAATTAAAAAATTTTTTTTGCATTTCAATTCTTAATAGACTTTACCACAATTTTTCGTATCTCTGTACACAAAGTATGTTGACACCCAATTTGTGTCTTCATACATGTACTTTTTAAAAAAAAATTATTTATTTATTTTTGTTTTGAGAGAGAGAGAGAATTTTTTTTAATATTTATTTTTCAGTTCTCGGCAGACACAACATCCCTGTTTGTATGCTGTGCTGAGGATCGAACCCGGGCTGCATGCATGCCAGGCGAGCGCGCTACCACTTGAGCCACATCCCCAGCCCCCTTATACATGTACTTTGGATAATGATGTCCATCACATTCCACCATCCTTGCTAATCCTCTGCCCCCTCCCTTTCCCTGCCACCCCTCTTCCCTATCTAGAATTAATCTAATCCTCCCATGCTTCCCCTCCCTACCCCACTATGAGTCAACCTCCTTATATAAGAGAAAACATTCAACATTTGTTTTTTTGGGGATTGGCTAACTTTACTTCGCATTATCTTCTCCATTGTCTTACCTGCAAATGCCATGATTTTGTTCTTTTTTAATGCTGAGTAAAATTCCATTGTGTATATATGCCACATTTTGTAATCCATTCACCCACTGAAGGACATCTAGGTTGGCTCCACAGTTTAGCTATTGTGAATTGTGCTGCTATAAACATTGATGTGGCTGGGTCCCTGCAATATGCTGTTTTTAAGTCCTTTGGGTATAGTCTTAGGAGAGGAATAGCTGGGTCAAATGGTGGTTCCATTCCCAGATTTCCAAGGAATCTCCATACCATTTTCTATATTGGCTGTACTAATTTGCAGTCCCACCAGCAATGTATGAATGTGCCTTTTCCACCACATCCTTGCCAACACTTGTTGTTCAATCTTTCCCATCTTAAAAAGCAAAACCAGAGCTGGGATTGTGGCTCAGTGGTAGAGCACTCACCTAGCATGTGTGAGGCATTGGGTTCCATCCTCAGCAGCACATAAAAATAAATTTTAAAAAATTTGTGTCCATCTACAACTAAAAAAAAAAAAGGAAAACCAAAAACTCTCCTTTCATCTTCAAATCTCCCTCTAGCAAAAGGTTTCTTCCCCCCCCCCCCTCAAATTAAAAATAAATTAAATTGAATATTTACAACTTAAAAAGATTTATGGGTTTCATGATTGCTTTTTCTGTTTCTATCAGGAATGTCATTGGGATTTTGATTGGGATTGCATTGAATCTGTATAGTACTTTTGGTAGTATGGCCATTTGGACAATATTAATTCTGTCATTCTGTCTATCCAAGAACAAGGTAGATTTTGCCATCTTCTAAGTTTTTCTTTAATTTCTTTTTTTAGCATGCTGTAGTTTTCATTGTAGAGGTCTTTCACCTCTTTGGTTAAGTTTAATTTTTTCTTTTTTTTTTTTTTGATGGTGCTGGGGATTGAACCCAAGGCCTTTTGCATGCAAGACAAGCACTCTACCAACTGAGCTGTGTCCCCAGCCCTTCATTAAGTTTATTCCCAAGTATTTTATTTTTTTGAGGCTATTGTAAATGGGGTGGTTTTTCTAGTTTCTCTTTCAGAGGATTTTTCACTAATGTACAGAAATGTCTTTGATTTATGGATGTTGATTTTATATCCAGCTACTTTGCTGAATTCATTTATTAGTTCTAAGAGATTTCTGGTGGAATGTTTTGTGTCTTCTAGGTATAAAATCATATCATCTGCAAATAGTGATAATTTGAGTTCTTCTTTTCCTATCCATATCCCTTTAATTTCTTTCATCTGTCTGATTTTTCTGGCTAGGATTTTAAGAATTGTGTTAAATAGAAGTGGTACAAGAGGGTATCCCTGTCTTGTTCCAGTTTTTAGAGGGAATGCTTTTAATTTTTCTCCATTTAGAATGATGTTGACCTGGGGCTTTTACAATGTTGAGGTATATTCCTGATAATCCCTAGTTTTCATCTAGAAAATTAAGAGACCCAGAATAGCCAAAGCAATCCTTAGCCAGAAGAGTGAAGTTGGTGGCATTACTATTCCAGACTTTAAACTATACTACAGAGCAATAGTAACACAAACAACATGGTATGGGCACCAAAATAGCCCTGTAGACCAATGGTACAGAATAGAGGATACAGAGACTAACCCACATAACTACAGTTATCTTATATTAGACAAAGGCTCCAAAAATGTACATTGGAGAAAAGATAGCCTCTTCAACAAATGGTGCTGAGAAAACTAGAAATCCATAAGTAACAAAATGAAATTAAACCCCTATCTCTCACCATGGACAAAACTCTACTCAAAGTGGATCAAGGACTAGGAATTAAACCAGAGACCGTGTACCTAATGGAAGAAAAAGTAGGCCCAAATCATGTGGGATTAAGCCCCAACTTCCTTAATATGACTCCTAAAACATAAGAATTAAAACCAAGAATCAATAAATGGGATGGATTCAAACTAAAAAGCTTCTTAGCAAAAGAAACAATCAGTGAGGTGAATAGGGAGCCTACAGAATGGGAGCAAATCTTAACCCCTCACTCATCAGATAGAGCACTAATCTCTAGGATATTTAAAGCACTCAAAAACCTTAACACCAAAAAATGGGCCAATCAATAAATGGGCCAAGGAACTGAACAGACACTGTTCAGAAATCTCAGAAGAGGATATACAAATGTTGAAAAAATGTTCAACATCTCTGGCAATTAGAGAAATGCAAATCAAAACTACTGTAAGATTTCATCTCACTCCAGTCAGAATGGCAGCTTTCAAGAATACAGACAACAGGGGCTGGGGATGTGGCTCAAGTGGTAGCGCGCTCGCCTGGCATGCGTGCGGCCCGGCTTCGATCCTGAGCACCACATACAAACAAAGATGTTGTGCCTGCCAAAAACTAAAAAAAATAAATGTTAAAATTCTCTCTCTCTCAAAAAAAGAAGAAGAAGAAGAAGAAGAAGAAGAAGAAGAAGAATACAAACAACAAGTATTGGCGAGGATGTGGGGAAAAAGGCACAGTCATACATTGCTGGTGGGACTGCAAATTGGTGCAGCCAATATGGAAAGAAGTATGGAGATTTCTTGGAAAACTGAGAATGGAACCACTATTTGACCCAGCTGTCCCTCTCCTCGGTTTATACCCAAAGGACTTAAAAACAGCTTAAAAACATATCAATGTTTTATAGCAGCACAATTTACAATAGTGAAATTGTGGAACCAACCTAGATGTCCTTCAGTAGATGGATAAAGAAAATGTGGTATATATACACAGTGGAATATTACTCAGCATTAAAAGAGAATAAAATCATGGCATTTGCAGGTAAATGGATGGAGTTGAAGAATATCATGTTAAGTGAAGTTAGCCAATCCCAAAAAACCAAAGGCTGAGTGTTTTCTTTGATATGAGGATGCTGATCCATAATGGGGATGTTGGGGAGCATGGGAGGAATGGAGGAACTTAAGATAGGGCAAAAGGAATGAAGGGGAAGGGAGGGGGACAGGGGGTAGGAATGATGGTGGAATGAGTTAGACGTCATTACCCTAAGTACACGTATGAAGACACAAATGGTGTGAAAATACATTGTGTACAATCAGTGACTCGAAAAATTGTGTTCTATATGTGTAATATGAAATAAATTGCATTCTGCCAGCATGTATTATAAATTAGAATAAATATATAATTTAATTTAAATAAAAGGGGGAAAAAGATTTATGGGTAAGGTAGAACGAATGATAATAGCATCAGGAGTGGTGGCACATGCCTATAATCCCAATAGCTTGGGAGGCTGAGGCAGGAGGATTGCAAGTTCAAGGCCAGCCTCAGTAATTTAGCAAACCCTAAGCAACCCAGGGGCTGGGGTTGTGGCTCAGTGGTAGAGTGCTCGCCTAGCATGCATGAGGCCCTGGGTTCAATCCTCAGCACCACATAAATGTAAAATAAAGATATTGTGTCCACCTCAAACTAAAAAATAAACATTAAAAAAAAAAAACCCAGACCTAGGCCAA